CATGAGGCCTGGGTAGCTGATCTCTTAAGGACAGTCACCTTCTCCCTGAAGGACAATTAGTTTTGAACGTCATTCTTCTTTTAATATAGTCAATGTCAGAAGTCTGAGCGTGTGTACAGAGTGCACTGTGGAAGACTGTCTGACTTCCTGAAGCAAGGAATAGTTGGCATCTAGAAGAAAGATACTGGACGCCTGAAAGGCAGGCTTCTTAATTTGACTTACTCAGTAGTATTAGCATACTGATGAATGGTGCAGACTTGGGGAACATTTAAATGTTCCCCCGCAGTCTGGCCAGGATACCGCTAGATCAGGACTATGTCACTTCCTAATTTGGAGGCAGTATTCTGCTTCCCTTGTATTCATTTTAATTGCTCTAAATTTCAAAAACTGACATAATGTACATTTTTGAAGATAACTCTGTAGGTCCTCTCTGAGTTTCAGGGTGAATCTGCTTCAGCTCAAGAGGAAGCATCTCTCTGTAAGGTGTGGCATAGATCTTAATATTTAATAAACTTAAAGCTCATTTTTCTTTCTAACTCTCTGAAATGAATTCTTAACGTTGTTACCTAGTGTGTCATGCTCACTGTTCTTTCACGGGAACGTAGAAATTGGGAATTATTTCCATGCCCCTACAAACAGTATGGTAGCTGTCTGTCCTTTCCGGGCTTCAGAGCCACTCTGTTCCTCACGTGGCATTTCCCTGGTGAGCAAGATGGCTTCCTTTTAGCTCTTCAGCTCAATTTCAGCACCAAGTGGTATTTTGTCTTTGGACTAATTAATGTTAGCTCAGTGCATCAGTGACCCAGATGTTGTTTCTGCTGACACGCGGTGTATTCTTGTGCAGGTGTGGGGCATTTGGAGTGAGTGTTCTGAAGTCTGTGTAGATGGTTTCAGGACCAAATGGTGCATAAAGTGAAAATAAACTTACTGGCTCTTATTGGCAGAGCAGTTGGTGACCTGAATGTGTGGCGTAAATAAAAATTATCCTTTTATCAGATTCATAGCCATGTTGGGTCCAGATTTTGACAGGAAACTAAGGAATGCAGGAAGATTCGGAGCCAAAGGGACCCAGTGCGCACCCACCTCTGAGCACACCCACGTGTCTGTCAGTGCGAGCCACTGAATGCAGCTGAGCTACGGTTCTCTCCTTTGTCAACTAGACAAAGGTCTGGCCTTGCGGTCAGAATGGGACACGGCATCTTGACATGAAGTCTAGACTTCTGCTGTTGAGGCCATTGAGTCAGGAATGCCATAAAGAATCACTTTGGATCTCACTGGTGTGCTTCTGGCCACTTCAGCAATTCTCTGGTTGAATCAGACTAAAACCCATTGAGAAGTCACAAGTAAGCCGGTTCCCTAATCTTAATTAACTGTTAGTTCAGCAAAGGCGGCACCATCCTCGCTTACTGATGAGGAAGCCGTGCTTACAGGTGTCAGATGACTGCTGAAGAACAGGAGGAGGAGGCTCCCAAAGAAGTTGTCGCCACAGTGTTCCTGCTGGTGCTGGGGATGGATGAGCAATGTTTTCAAGGGGGAGACCGCATGCCCCACTAAGGAGAGTGGTATACCTGCGACCGTGGTATTCTTGCTGGCACTGGTGGCTGATGGTGTGTTATGTGAAAGGAAGATTAAGTGCCAGCAAACGTAACCATAGAAAGTCAGAAAACCATAGGCCTAGAGCTGTGTTGAGCCCTTCCTAATGCTGCCACCCAATACAGTTCCTCATGTTGGGGGCGACCTCCAATCAGAAAATTATTTTCATTACCACTTCATAACTGTAATTTTGGTAGTTATGAATTGTAATGTAGATAGCCAATATGCAGGTATCAAAGCTTTAGAGGCCTTGAGGAAGTGAGTGAATTTAGTCAAACTAGCTAAAACTTGAATTTTTAAAACCATTTTTATTCCTATAAATAATTCTCATGTCTTAGGTTTTGGTTCATTTCATGTTGTGTTGCGCACAGCAGAAGAGCAGCCCTAAGCAGCTGGCTGCCTTTTGTGTACTGAGTACTGCCGGGCTGCGCAGGTCGCAAGAAAGGGTAGAGGGCTTCCTGGACTACATGGTGAGCGTGGCTCTGAAGGGCTGTGGGCCAGCATCGCAGGACACACCTCAGCCTGGGTGTGGATGAACCCTGTCCTGAATGAAAGGGAAGGGAAGACACATGGCTTGGACGCTGCAAAGACTGTCAGATCAGCCTTAGAGGCGAAAGTGCCGTCTGTGTACTGATGAAGAGCTGGACTTACTGTATGGCTTCCCTTTCCCTGAGAAGAGAGAGGTCGCCATAACTTCAGCAGCGCAACCTGCTTTTCAGGATGTCCCCTCTCTGGCTGCAGAAGCCTTTGTTGCACTTTCTTTCCGGTGTGGAGAAGGGGGCAGCCACTAACACTGTGAAGTATTTGTGAAGGCTCCTGTGAGGAGGAAAGAAAGTTCTAGACTTTTATTGTTATTTTAGGTGACTTCTTGTATAATAGAAATAGGAAAAGGCAGGCCCATCATGCTGGCTGGTAGCCTTTCTGTCATCTACTGGGGATATGAACTTGCTGTACCCCAAACCTTGTCTAGTCGCAGGTGGGATGAAGAAAACCGGTGGGTTCATGCTGTCTTGGCAGTTTACGTTTGGGTTCACACTGTCTTGGCACTTTACATCTGGGTTCACACTGTCTTGGCAGTTTACGTCTGGGTTCACACTGTCTTGGCAGTTTACATCTGGGTTCACGCTGTATTAGCAGTCTACTTCCTTTCCATATAACTTTAGAATTAGCTTGTGTTTATTGCCTAAGAATCCTGCCAGGACTTTTTAGTTTATTCTTATGTATTTATTGATTTTTGGAGATAAGGCCTTACACTGCAGCCCAGGCTGACCTTACATGCTCCATCCTCCTGCTTCAGTTTCCCAAGTACCAGGATTGATTTTAATGACATTTTGTCTGTGGGTCAATTCTAAGACAACTGAGACTTTTTTTGTGATGCACCCTGTCCGTGACTCCTGTGTCTCTTTGTCTGGATAGTTTGTCTACAGTGTTCTCATTGGCATCTTGTGGATTCTATTTCTTTTTTCCTCTCCCTCTCTATACCTTTTGCTCTTGGAACAGGGTAGTATTCTTAACAAATGCTGAAAAATCGGAGGAAGAGCACGCCAGGCAGGCGACCTCGCTGTGGTCCGGCCTTGCTGACCTCTCTTCTAGTTTTAGGGGGACAGTATTTCCTCTCTCACAGCTATTATGGTAGTTGTGGCCCTTTTTCTTCAATGCCCCTCTTCAGATCAAAGAGGGTCTCCTGTTTGCAGAACATTTTGATTACAACTAGAGGTTGGATTGTGTTAGATACTTCATCAGTTGATATGATCATCTGGTTTTTCTCCTTTAGGCTGTAAGCAAGCTAGAATTGCTAAGGAAATTTCCCACCTCATTGAGAGCCATACAAGGCCAGGGAAGTGGCCTTTCTCTGCAGCTCTTTGTGCATAGAGGCCCACTTCTCAGCTTAGTCCAACCCCCTTGACGATAAAAGGGGAAACAAATACTGTTGGCTTGTGAGAAGCCCAACCCTACACTTGCCGACGTGTGCGGGCTGGTACCTAAGGTTTCAGAGTCCTGAGGTAGCTGTGTCCTTTGCCCCAAGATGAGGAAGAGGGGTGGAGTGTGGTGTTCTGCCTTGTGTGTGAGAAACCTTTCTTTTCTAAGTTACAGATACTCCAGGTTGACTTGTATGCTCTTTTGAGTTTGAAGAACTTGCCTCATAGCTTCTGCTTTAGTGTTGTGATGTTTAAGTGGTATTTTGTATTAAGCAATAAAAGCTGTAGTGAGGGCTGGGGGAGGTGGTGCACGCCTTTCATCCCAACACTGGGTAGGCAGAGGAGGTGGTACTCTATGAGTTCGAGACCAGCCTGGTTTATACAGCTGGTTCCAGGACAGCCAAGGCTACACAAAGAAACCCTGTACAAAAGCTATAAGTGAGTATACCATAAAAGTAATTAAATCATAGAAATATGTAAAAATGATCTGCTTTCTATTCTTTCTTAGACTATATTATTACTTGTAATATGTTTTGAAAAACTGTTATGAATTCAAATCAAGTCTTAAATATTGAAACTTTTTGAGCTGTTAATACTACCCTTCTCAGTGAGTTGAGATTCCTGGGAACCTAGCAAGGAATCTGGAGAGAGGGTCTGATTGGAGGGGCTGTAAGGATTCAGGAAGAAACTCAAAGCCACAGACCTAAGTGTGCTTACCATGGGTGACACTATGAAGATATGAGGTTGAGAATTCTGTTACTAACGTGAAACTTTAGTAAACGCTTGTATTACCTAGAAAAGAGAGGAGGCTCAGAGCAGTAAAGGAGACATACCGTGGTGTGGTCTGGTAGGGCCGTCTGCAGTAGCACACAGTGTAAAGAGGTCTGAAGTGGGGAGCACAATGCCAGCGACGTGTTGTTTGGTGGCTGTGGAGAGCTAGCTAATCAGAAAGTGGTGAAGCAGAGGGACCGGAAATGGGGATAGTATCTGCACCATGGGAGGTCTCGGGCACACATTTACCTCTGCTGGTTTTTAAGTTCTGGCAGGATTGACACATCCTTACTGCACACAGCAAGCATCCAGCTAAGAGCTCTGTACACCTAAGTGGTACCCCGCTACTACCAGAGGTGGCCTCTTGACTCTGGCTAAGGGGAGAGGCCAGCTGTCCTGTTAAAGGGCTATCGGGAATGTGTTCCCCTTTTAATGAATTCTTTATGTGTAGTCTAACCGTCGGTGGCTAGACCACAGTATAAGACCTTGTCTGTAGGAATCCTTCACAGCCTGCTTTTCTCCAGGTAAAATCCTGAGGGATTTGCTAATGCGCTGTTTGCTATGTTTAGAAGCAGAGCACACAGCCTCTCCTCGCTGCCCAGGGTTTACTCTAACTGGTCTCCCACAGCCTTGCTTTAGGGACAGCAAATGTTCGTTGTGAATGAAGGAAATTCCACTTCCTAAGCTTTCATTGTCTTTTTATTTCCCCACCTCTAGGATCAGAATTCAGGCCGTCAATGAGATTGGAGTCGGACCATTTAGTCATTTCATTAAAGCAAAAACTCGGCCATTGCCACCCTTGCCTCCTAGACTGGAGTGTGCTGCATCTGGTCCTCAGAGCCTGAAGCTCAAGTGGGGAGACAGTAACTCCAGGACGCATGCCGCTGGTGACCTGGTGTACACGCTGCAGCTGGAGGACCGGAGCAAGAGGTGAGCGGGGCGCGTGCATTCCTGGCACGTCCAACTTTGCTGTTCGCCTCATACTCGTGGTCCTCTGAAGCCCCTCCTCCTTGTTTACAGAAGGCTCTTGCATGTTACTCAGCAGTATACCCTGTTCTCCCTCTGGAGTTCTTATGCGTTTTAAACATCCCCATCGCCCGACGTGACAACAGATGCATGTTTATCCCTTTATAAGGGCCGATGATGGAGAGAAATTATCAAAAGAGAAAATTGTCAGATTCAAGCCCCACTGTCTAATAACATTTATTAGTCATAAGTGCCGAGGAAAATGGGACCTGGGAGAAATAGTACCTCTTTAAATATTCAGTAACCATCGGGACAAACATGTTTACCAATCTGGAATCGCTGTGGGTAATGTACAGATGGGGGATGTACTCTGCAACTATGGGTGCTGTGATATCAAATTAACCAGAGCAAATAAGAGATTTGTTTCTTCTAAGACTTCCTGCCCAGAGGACACTTGGAGATGTTGAAATCAAATTCAGGCTTTCACATGGTGCTTACTTAAGGTAGCTTTATCTCCTCAGAAAATGGCCAATCAGAAGACAGAAGTTAGTGGTCACAGAATGTTCTACTAGCAAAGGTTCTGATCAGAATCAGGCAGAAGGGAGGACTATCATAAAACCAAAGCAGTGATGAACTATTAGCTGTGTTGAACTTGTCGACAGTATGACACAATGTTAGTATACAGATGTGTTGGTCCACATTCACAGCTGCCATGGTGCATACGTATGCCGCAGGTTGGACGCTCCTGAGTTAGACTGGATGGTCCTGGAAGCATGGAAGAGGTTGTCCCTGTTGTATCGCTGTCTATAGGACCACATTCTGTTCCAGTGCATGGGGTTTCCTCTCCCATACATTCTTGGCCCACTGCTCTGCAGTCAGGAGATTAGACTGAGTTTACTGCCGTGGAGCTCTGTTGACCTTAAATGAAAACCAAGATCCGGAGAAGTAGCCATACCCTGGGTTTTGTGGAAATAATGTCAGGGCCAGCGACAATGGGATAGGCAGTGAGTGGGTGCTTAGCTGAGGAAAAGCAATCAAGCAAAGGCCAAAGAAACCCTAAGAAATCCGGGCAAATACTGTTCTGTGTGTCTACTGTGCAAGGTGCCAGTGGGAGTCTGGGAAAAGCACCCCTATGCTTCTGCCAACTTCTTAGAATTTGGCAGAAGTAGAGACCATGTCTGCTAAGAAGAAAGAAACGTGTAAAGATGTGGTAAAGTTCCAGAGACCACAGTGCCTCTTTAGGCCTTCCTGTTCTGTTCTGAATGTCCTCACACAGCCTTCCTATCCACTGGCAATGTCCCAGGGTCGCTGGAGACATGCGAACAGAAGATAGGGTGTAGGAACTGGTGTGGAGACTGAAAGCGAGGTCTTGGCCTTCAGCACAGTTAGCTCTACCAGAGGGTGGGAGCATCAAAAGAAACAAACAAAAACCGGGAGAGAGTTACAGCTGTCTTGTTGACATCCGAATGGAAATAAATACAATATTCATAGAAAGAGGGGAAGAGGAAGGGAGAATGTACAAGTACATATCATTAGCTCATGGAAAACCCTAGAATTTAGTGCCATGGGGAAAAACGTTCTGAGAGTTTGGACCATGTACACACAGACCACACATTTGAACTTGGCTTGCCTTCCCAGGAAGATCAGGTGGAAAGAAAATAAAGCAGCCATTGTCCTGCTGGAGGCATTACCAGCACCAAAGCACAGGGACAGTGAGCCTGATTTGATAAGTTCACTGGAGATCGAAATTATCTTTTATATGCAAAAGCATTCATCCTGTTGAATATGTTTCTTTGGATCTGTTTTTAATGGGTCATTATTCTACCTTGAAAGAAGTTCTCAGCCACAGAGGACTAGCAAAATCAAGCATTCTGAACTAACAGAAGTCATGATATGTGTGAGAGTCAGTATTAAGGGATATTTCCAAATCTTAACGTTTTTTCTTCCAGGCCTTTGCATCTGTTGACAATAGAAAGAACCTTTTGGGGGATATTGTGTAGTTCTCCAAAAACATAGCACAGAAGGGCTGGAGCCTGTGCTGTACTGCTCCATAAACCTGGAGAACCTGGGAAGCAGGGAGACTCCCTTTTCTTCTGTAGTTCTGCCCTGGTGGGACAGCCACCCAAGGAGTGGACAGCCACTCCACTTTGTGGAGACTGTGCAGATGGTGGTTAACAGTGGCTCCTCGGCACAGAGCAAACACTGTAGAAGCATCTACAGATGAGTGTGGCTCGCATGAGACACCTCCATACGGCAAACAGACAAGACTGCAGAATCTAGGAGTCAGTGCATGCTTGCTCCTTTGACAGAAGAGGTGGGGGAAGGAAGGAGGCAGAGAGATGCTGAGGCTTGCCTTGTTCATCAAATAAATCATTTGCCTAAACAGAACTGGTAATTTAAGAAATTTGACCATTAGGAATGATATTTTTCTTAATTTTATGAGCTGGAGTCCACATTTATCCTTTCTAAATTAAATTTGTCAGTGCTCTCAGAAAGTTATTAAAGTGATGTGAGTCCTGGGCATAATACATTCTTATTCTATTTGTGGAATCGTTTTCCTGGGATTTAACAGGATGAGGACAGCCTGACTTCAGTTTGAAGATGACCTTCCTTAGTGTCTGAAAGTGAATGCTTGTGAATGGTCCAAGCCTTTAATGCCAGCTCTTGACTCAGCATCAAGGACAAAACGCTGGACTTGAATATGTCACAGTTCTGTTAGCTTAATGTCTGTCCTTCCTTCCTTCCTCCCTCCCTCTCTCCCTCCTTTCCTCTCTCTCTTCGAGATGGTTCCATGTATCCCAGGCTGATTTTCAATTCACTGTGTAGCCAGGATGAGCCTACACTTTTGATGTTCCTGTCTCAATCTTCCATGAGCTGAGATTATAGGCATGCACACCACACTTGATTTTATGCAATACTGGGGTGGTGGAGGCATGAGGATCCGAAGAGCTCACTATCCAGCAAATCTAGCCTTCTCGGGTCCAAGTGGCAGGCCCTGTGGCAAAGAGAGGTTGACAGCTACCCTGAGGACAACACCAATGTTGACTTCTGGCCTCCACATGTGCCCACCCACACACCTGTACTGATACACACACACATGTGCACGAGATGACCCAGGGATTCAAATATATATATTTTAAGCTTTCTGAAGGAAAATTCTGTGTATCAAGAACATGCAAAGAACATGCCAAGCAGTAGGAGCTTTGTTTACATTTAGTTCTCTGACTAAGAAGTGAAATATGCTAGTATATCCCCCTCCCTCTCCCTCCCTCCCTCTCTCCCTCTCTCCTTCCTTCCCTCTCCCTCCCTCCCTCCCTTCCTCCCTCCCTCTTTCCCTCCCCATTTGAGCTCCTTTCCTACAAACAGAAGGAAATGAACAAGCCAGCATGGCCCAAAGCTTTGCCTCTCAGGGTAACTATATCAAGAATTCTTACAACCCAGCTGACTGAGTTCCTGAGACTTCAGGGCCATGCTCATGGAGAAGCATTGCAGTCATGCTTCTCTCTAGAGGGCTAAGTTTATGCCTAGTGTTTGATTATGGTTATTCAACTAGCAGAATGTTTTCTTGAGTTACCATCGTGTGCTCGGCCTCATGAGGTATGTGGCAGATTTGGAAGAGCTGATCTTGCTGAGAAAATGAATTAGCATTAAACAGTGAACAGACAGTACAAGAGATTTTAATTTCAACAGAAAAGCAAAAATTAGATTAGTTTGGCCTTGCGGTGATTAGGTCTATTATTCTTAACAGATCCAGCATAGAAAATCTGAATGGTTCTGGTTTCCATGTTACATGAGAAAAATACACACGCTGAGCAAATATTCTCATAAAGCCAAGTTTCCCTGATGCACTTGCTAGAGTAGCAGCTTCAGCTCGTAGGCTGAGGTCATAGCACTGTCCTGACACTTCGGAAGATGCGTTTGTCTGTGTTTATGAAATGAAATGGTGCCTGGTCTAATGGAATTGGAGCTGGTGTTGAGCCCAAATTCATCGGACCATGCTCTTGGTAATTGTGCCCAGGACTGCAACAGGAGGGCTATAAATTCCAGGAATGTGTTTACGGTTAATCTGCTGCTCGGGTTTTGTTCAGACAGCCAGTGTTTTTCAACGTGAGGCTCCAGGGAGATTAGACAGGGGAGAGGCATCTAGTGGAATGAATAGTCACGACTTGCTCTCCCCATCAGGATCTGTAACTGTGACACTTCCCTGACAGCCAGGGACTATGGAACTATGGGATGCTTCCAGTGTCAGTAGCTACTGACTGTTACCAAAAACAAAACAAAAACAAACAAACAAAAAAAACCCTGCATCTTCAAGGTTTCTTTAAACTCCAGAAGAATACGCTGTAGGGATATAATGAAAGGGACTAGAGAGCGTGAGCGACCCGACTCAGTAGTCTTTGCTACAGACCCGACTCTGGCTCCATTCTCAAACTGCAGTGCTGTTATAAATGACTGCTGGGAGATTCAGAGCCAGCCCTGTGCTTCCCATTCCTTCCCCTCCCTCTGCACTTCCGGTCCATATGATCATCCTCTGCGGGAAATGGCTTGTGTCTACCCAGCCCGTGTGCTCCTCATTCCTTTCCCCCGCATTTCTGGTCCACATGATCATCCTCCACGGTAAATGGCTTGTGTCTAACCAGCCCATGTGCTCCTCATTCCTCCTCCCCCCCCCCCCACCCTGCACTTCCGGTCCACATGATCATCCTCCGTGGGAAATGGCTTGTGTCTAACCAGCCCGTGTGCTCCCCATTCCTTTCCGCCGCACTTACGGTCCATATGATCATCCTCCGCGGGAAATGGCTTGTGTCTCTTTCCTGCAACCCCAAGTAGCAGCTGCAGTCCTCGACACCCACCATCAGACCTCTGTCCTAACCCTAGACCTGTTCCTGACTTTTCAGATGAGCAGAGACGTATGCCTCGACTGGTTTTTGCCTGCGATTTCCAGGCTACGAAGTACACATAGTGATGCCTGGCACTCCAGTTCTTAATTAATAGAGGAAAAATATTTAGAGACATTTTAGTTTTTAGGGTAAAATCATAAAGATTCATCCTAAAAAATAAAAATTTTTTGCTAACTTGCTCAACTTCAAGCCAAATGCCTTGGACCAATCAGGGCAGAAAAGTGGTAAAGGAACTATTTGAGATCTGATTGGATCCAAAGTCAAATCCAGATAATGCATTTTACCTCTGAATTACTTTATAAATAAATAGAAGGAAAATCAATTGCAGTTTCCTCCACTGAAGCAAGACCACTGCAGCAGAAGTGGACAGACATCTGGAAAGCTCTGGGCCCCGTGTCCTCAGCAGCAAGACTCATTCCATGTATTGGGAACCCACATAGAAAACTGGGGGTGTCGAGTATCTCAGAAGAACCTTAAAGTTGGGGGAGGGTGCTTTCTATGAATGCAAATGAATGGGAGAGGGGCTTGCTATGAGTGCCAATGGATTGCTTTTTTGAATCTATCAATGTCTATACAGACATAAATGCAGGCAAAACACCAATGCACGTAAAACAAATCTTTAAAAAATTTGGGTGTGGAGTTATAAAGGAAGAGCAGCCTGCTTTCCGGGCATTCCTGGCTCCTCCCACTGGGAGCTATAGGCTGCCGAGACCCAGCTTGCCCTCCCAGGGGGACTGATGGTCCCAGGTTGGCCTCTTGAGGCTCCCTGATTCTGCCTTCACTACAGGCACGATGCTTCAACATTACAGCACCAGCAGTTAGCACCCCAGGTTAATGGCTTCCAACCATCCTCACCCTGCAGTCACTTTCTCTACCCTAACTAATTCAGCCTTTCTCACAAACGTGGGTAACGCTGTCTCTGAACCTAAGGACGTGCATTAATGACACATTTGTCAATCTGCCATTACTATTAGCCCTTCCTGCGATGCTTTTTAATAAGTCGGAGTACCAGTTAAGTGCATGAGCAATACAAGAATGGACCAAATAGTCTAGAGTCAGCAAGTTTCAATGGTTTTGAGAATTATATGTGTTCTACTTATTCAATTTGGATTATAGTATGAAGTCAGATTACTGGACTTGCTTCAGTGAGTTTCGTAGAGACTGCAAGTGCTTCTATCTAGGTATGTGATTAGACCTTGGCACAAATGTGTGTCAAACGTCTTTTCTAAAGGAAATACCATCCTTGGAGTGTGGCAGGGCTGGAAACAGTTCTACAGACAAACACTGAGCTTGCAGGTCACCATAATGGAGATTTAACAGTGTCGCTTCTGAGACCGTGACTTCCATTTGTGATACAATTAAGGGCAATTACTCCCGCTGGCGATTCTGGCCCAGGTGAAGCTGAGTTAATAAGTAGCCATTTGCCTCTGCATTAGCTGGGGTGTCTTCATTAAGGCAGTAATGTGTTCAGTGTGCTAAGTAGGTTGCCATGGTTATCTGTGGGTTTCAGCCTGGGCTCAGCCTTCAATAAAAAACACTTCCCCCTGATTAAAACATGCAGAGCAGTAAGTGAACCTGCCAGGGCTCCGGAACTCCATTTCAAAGGCTGGTGCGTGCCTGGATGGGATACACTGAGTATTGGTTAACAGGGTTTGTAACTTCAGGTTGTTCGGTCTGTCCGTGGATCCACCTCACCCTCCCACCTAGGACTATTTCACACAGAACCAAGTTGCTACTGCCCTCTAGAACTTCCTGCCCCACATAGGGCCAGCACCTCAGGGTGGTTCTCATTCAACCCCAAAGCCCAGCACACATCAGGCTGCTAAGAATGACTGCTAAATAATTGTAAGAATTCTTTTCCCTGAGCCCAACAAGCTCAGGTCAACCATTTTGAATGATGATTGTGTCACTTAGTGCCTTACAGTCGTTTCTGAAGACAGTGGGGGTGTCCTTGACTGCTGAGGGAGCTCTGGGTACCAGTAGCCAAGCATGGCCTGTGTGAGCAAAGCCCCTGAGTCTGGAGTTGCTCAGTGTTGGTTCTCAGGGTGTTCCTGGGCCAGTGATATTTAGGTACTGGAGATCTTTTGGAAAAATTGCATTGTTTTTTCAGAATCATACAGTTATTAGGTGATAAAAGTCAATTTATAGATCTAGGTAGTCCAGTTTCACAGGGGGAGGAGTTTAGTTTTCAAGATATGCTGAGAAAATACCTAAAGTACAAGGATTGTTTTCTAATTCACACTACGTAATTACATTGCATAGTAATAATAAGAGCAGGAAGACGGCTCGGTCGGAAGGTGGACCTGCATAGAGAAGAGCTTGAGAGCCGTCGGTACAGAATTAAGGAGTGTGCTTCGGTCACACACGCAAATAGTAAATTACGATTTTTAAAAGTATTTTAATTTAGCAGAAATATAAAATAGTTTCAGACCAAATGGTAGAAGAAACCAGAATCTGCCAGCAAAAACTGCCCAGCTGGCCTGTGCCATTTTATATGTTACTTCATTTACCCCGGTGATAATTCTGAACACAGTCCTTTCTGTCTTTTGTGTATTTTCTCCAAGATACATAATCATAGATGTCTTTTTGCCAGCTTGGGAAAGGGCTTTGTGAGGTCTTGTATAAATAAAGATCAGCATTTAAAGGATTTAAACTTCTGTTATTTGAAAAATCTGAGTAAATAGACCTCTTATTTATCAAGTGACCATTGAACAGTAACTTCATTGCCAAGTAAATAATACGTGGGTTACCACTAACCACAATGAAACACTTGAAAATTCTGATTTTGTTAGTAAATAAAAACATGCATGACTGATGTTTCTGGAACTTGGTTCTGCTCTTCGCGTGTGCTTTACCGTGTGTTTTCTTTTATACAAGCATTCCTTGAACATTGAACTGAACCATTACATAGCAACCGGTCCCTTTAGGTGGTGGGAGGCATTTATCAAGCTAGCCCTGATCTTTCCATGAGTCTGCCTCAGAATTTATCACCACAAGGAACTCGGGTGACTAATGGATCTGCTCCTCTTTCTGTCCAGGTTTGTTTCCATCTACAGAGGACCCAGCCACACCTACAAGGTCCAGAGACTGACGGAGTCCACCTGCTACTCCTTCAGAATCCAGGCAGCGAGCGAGGCAGGGGAGGGACCTTTCTCAGAAACTTACACCTTCAGCACAACCAAAAGTGTCCCTCCCACCCTCAAAGGTGTGTGGAAGTAGACCCCACACTGTGCTGGGAGGGGAAGGATGCACTGACGTCACACCTGCGAAGTTCAGGTCTGACCATAAATGCATTCTGAATCTCTCTAATAACAAGATGAAATCAGAATTTCTCAAAAAGAAAAAAAGCTGTGTGGTAGGTTATCTGGAGTAAATGCCTACATGGACAGTCTACTGTATTCTCTATGCATGTTTATTGCAAATAATATAGTAGTGTAATATATAAAGATATCCTAATTTCCAAACATAACAGGCAGGGAGCTGATGTGAATGACAGCTTTTGTGTTAGTGAGTGAGAGGTGGCTTAAGACTGATTGCCTCCTTTCCCAAAGACATTCAGAGGTTAGTACTAACATGTGTAAGTGGATTCACGAGATAAAGGAGGGTGTTGAGTGTTTATTTGGGAACACTCACGAACAACAAGGTAGAGAATCGCCGTGGTGGCCTGCTCTGTGGGTGGTGGGAACTGTGATCAGGTCCCCAACCACCACCCAAGAAAGCGAGTGAGCCCCTCCTCTCTCTTAAAAGTGATCATGTCCACAGACTGAAGGCCACGCCCTTAAGTCCAGTAACCCCCAAAGCTGTTGGCTGAATGAGTTTCCAGAATACTTACCCCTTCTGTCTAAATAAGCGGGGACAGAGAATACTTTTCTTTACAGGTTGGCATTCATCTCTGGGTGGTTTTGGTGCCTGGAAATTAGAACCTGATTCGGGCAACACCGGCACTTCCTGTGGGCACATAACCTCTCCATAGAGGGCACTGTTGAAAACCTATGGCAGTGACCATCAGTGTTTCTCCAGAGGTTTTCCCTTGGAGGAATCAGGTCCTGCAGAAGCGCCAAGACAGCAAATATCTAAATCTCTCATCTTTCTCAAGGAGGGTAGATAGAGACACTCCTGCTGGGCCGAGGCTCCAAGTCTGCCATGTCCCTAGTCACAGAATTGTGGATGAGTCAGTGCCAGACTTGCATGGGAGGGCTGGTGGTGACAAGAGCCTTGTCCCCATCACCAGACGTCACGTTCTCACACAGGTCCCTGGAACGTCTCCTTAGACAAAGCAGCATTGTTCCAGCCCGCCATTGTCCAGTGCCCTGCTGGTGGTGTGTGCTGCAGGGTGGGGTACTGACTTTGGAGGCAGTCCCTCTGTATATGCCCCTAGGATGGCTTCCATATGAAGGAGTTGAGGCCCCTACATCCGGAACGTAGTCGGTTACAGGAAGGAGGGGCTATCAGAACCTGGATCACTGTCTGGCTTAGGCTCTGCCAGGTTTGTTGTAACTACTTCCAGGATTGCTTCATGACATGTGCCTTCAACCTGCTCCCCGCCCCACAGGCACCTTGGCCACTTCTCTGTGTCATGTGCCCTTTATATATACTTTATTTCCACATCCCTAAAGTACCTGGCACATGAAAAGTGCTATAAACCTTGTGAAGGTGATCAACAGCCATGGGAGGGAGGGGGATGGGAGAGGGTAGATGGGTGGATGATAGGTAGATGGATGGATGATAGGTAGGTGGATGTATGGATAGATAGATGATAGGTAGATAGGTAGATAGATAGATAGATAGATAGATAGATAGATAGATAGATAGATGATAGGTAGGTAGATGGATGGATAGATGGATGATAGGTAGGTAGATGGATGGATAGATAGATGGATGATAGGTAGATCAATAGATAGATGGATAAATAAGTGAACTGAGACCCAGGCCAGCAACTCGTTAATGAGCTAGTGAGAAGATGTGCCGAGAACGGGCCTCCTGGTCCTGGAGTAACCTCCCTTTCGTGAGGGTTACCTAGCAGGGTTAGCAGGAAGCTGAACAATAAAGCTCCCTCTCAGGGTGGACACAAGCACGTCGCATTCTCCCAGGCTGAGACTGAGTTTTGACTTGGGTGTGTGGTTTTGTATTGCAGCACCTCGAGTGACACAATTAGAAGGAAACTCATGTGAAATCTTATGGGAGACGGTACCACCGATGAAAGGTGATCCTGTTAACTACATCCTGCAGGTACTGGTCGGAAGAGAATCTGAGTACAAACAGGTAAGGCCCAGCGTCCGTGCATGCGCCATTCTTCTGCGTCAGGCTGGCTGCGAGCCCTGAGCACAGCCCTGATTGATGCAGGGAGCTGCGGGTTTGTTAGGAGTCGGTGGTTGGACGGCCTGAGACGGGCTTATATTGTTTACATTTCCTCCCCTATCTGTGGTGGTCTTCCTGTCTTCCTAGTTCCCCGGGCATAAACTTGAGGGGATTCAAGGGGTGTGTTTGTTTAGCAGCGTAAAATCTGCACAGTTTTCGTGTGATTGGAAGCTGAAGTGGCCCCAGAGAGGAAGGCATCTTAACCTACCCTTCAAATTCCGGGTCCTCTCTGCCTGTTAAGAAGTGACGGTGAAAGGGTGAGGGGGCGACCTGACTCACGCTCTGGGCTGATTTTTGTCAGCCTTTAATATGCATATCCATCAGATTCTGATTCGAGATGGCTCCGGGTGACATGGCCATGTGTTGTGTCAGAGTAAATAGATCACAGTCAAACCTATTCAACAGAAAACATGAATTTGGTTTTACTGTTTCTCATACCTCGTGATCCTTAATACCTTACAGAATAATGCCTTATTGGGTCACTGACTGTACTGAGTTCAGCCCCCTGGAAGATAGACTGCTTGGGTGGAACTGGGATATGATTGTTTATTCCATCAGGGAAGTAAGATCCATCTTCACTTGGCACTCTCCATAATCCATTTGTATTGAACTCATAAGGTGAAGATCAGTGTTGCCTGTCCTGGGAAGTGCTGGCGTTGTTTATAAAGGCTGCTGCTTTTAGCCTTTGAGTCTTCAAATGCACACACGAGAGGAAAATCTGATTCAGCATGTCACTTAGAGTGCTTGCTGCTGTTTTATGTGATAATTTTTAAAATACTTGTAAACAAAATTTTTAAAATACTTGTCAAAGAAGTTATTGGACATGTTGATACATTTTGTTACTATGAGTATCAGATAGGCTGAATATTTTAACCACACCTTGCACAAGCTTTATCTTTAGCCTGACATCTACCAGTATTGATTCCTCTGAGCCGATGACGTCACCAAGACCTCCATCATACCCCTCACAAGGGAACAAAGCCCTGGGCTTCTCTTCACCTTCCTGTTCCCTTCTCATCCTGTTGCCATCTCAGGACCGTTCAGGTCACACGTGCCATTGCTCAGTTTAGCAGAAAGGAGTTCTCTCCAGCTCGCTCTAGTTAAGCCTTGGCCATCTCGCTCTTGTTTGACACTGAACAGCAGTTCGTTTCTCATCACATATTCGCTGCTATGGTTTTAAAACCTTTTGTTCCATGTACCGTGCATTTCCACGTATTCTTGGAAAAAACGTTCTGTTCTCAGTGCACACTGGGTGCTGCTTGGCAGAGGAAGGGCAGCACTGTGTGCTCAGTTTCTGCGCATCCACCGTCGTCAGAGTGAAGACTAATCACTGCAGGAATTTAGATTTGATCAGGTTAGCCTTTCTCAGGCCACCGTTCAGTGTTAAGTCCTGATGTGATGTGTAGTCATGTATTTACCATAGAATATTCTCTTACCATCAATGCTATAACGGTTATTGATTATCAAGAATGTGGCATTTCAGGACCGCTTCCGTCAGTAGAGATGCCCACATAGTTCCTACGTTTACCAAGAAGTGAATAAGGGCAGTTGTGACATGAGAAACCTCAGCTGACACAGCTCATCAGGGACTGTTAGTACTGGGTCTGGGAATTTCGTTGTTTTTCTTTTCCTTTCCTTTCCCGATTCAGTAACCATTCTCTTGCTGTGGTGTTCTGAGGAAAGGAGAGGGAATGAAGGCCATTTGTATAATGTGTGGGTTAATAGACAAGCAGGCTTTGAATTCATAGCAGCAAAGCCAAAGCAGATGGGATGTAATTGTTCCTGCGCAGCAGCCCAGCCAAGCCAGGACCCTCATGCTGCACTGCATAGACCCCATTACAGCGCTAATCATACCACCCGCTAATAGGAGCGCTCGCTGATTGAATTTGTTTTCTGATCTGGCACATACTCGGGCACTCGGCAAGTGCATCCTGCGTGCACGGAAGAGGCAGGATCCAGGGAGCTGGTAATTTACACCTGCAGTGGTGAGTTTCCTTTGTAACAGGAAGAATAGTGATGCTGATCCCCCACTGGACAGGCGGGTCCGATGCTGTTCCTGTCTTGAGTTTGTTTTGGTTCTAGCGCCCTTTGGTTCAGTTCCCCTTTGCTATCATCATGATGTGGCAGGCAGCCTGTTTTAAGGACAACACACAGGCATGCCTTAACGAGCTACCAAATCCTTTCTGGCACTTCACTCCACATTCAACTGCATGTATATGTCTGTCTTTCGGCCACTTAAACATTCCAAGCTCAAAGTGGTTTTCAAGAATCGTATCTTTTTTCCATGGCATTACTGCAAAGCATTCTTGAAAGGGTGAAGATTTCTCTAGATACATGCAGTTCACTTTCGCACACCACACAAAAGAATGAGGCAGAAGTATACAGATCCCTCTTCAGACGTCAGTAGTCTTTACCAAAAAATACTGAATATAAGCATTGAAGATAAGGAGAGAGTTGACAAATTACAAGAAACCATTTCCTGTTAATTATAGCTCAGATTCATCGCAGTTGGGAAACCTCCAAGGCATTAGAAATTCTGTGGAGCCCACCTTTGGTGAGTTGGCAGTCTCTGTATGTTGACAGCACTGGGGTAGATACCGATCCTTCATGTTCTCGCCAGGGGATTGGTGAGGAAGCATCTTCTGTTGATTTTAAAGTCATTTTAAAGCAGATTCCAGAGCCAGCATGTCTCAGTGACTTTGAACACATAACTTAACTGCAAAGCTGTTTTAATCACCTCAAGTTTTCCATGTTTCAAATCCAAAGCAAGAACAAAATAGATCAAAGTAGAAATCTTTCCAAGCTATCATTTACTTTACTAATTTTTAAGTTTACAGTTTCATGTTCATATCTCATAAAGACCACTTCCCCTAAACTAGAACAATGCTTGCATAAACATCTACTTGAAATGTCCCATAATCTGTATTTGTTCGATCTCCTGAGTGCAGGTACCGAGCCCAGGTTGCAGCTTCTAGCTGCTTTGTGTTGTGGAGGTGTCTCAGCAGAAGAAGTTCACACGGGTGCACGGACAGGTTGCAGTGGACACCCAGCACCCTTGCTGTGCCTGTCTGCTGAGCAGCTTAGGTGCTCAGCCACCCCCGTCCCTCCCAGGAGAGGTCACAGGATAGCAGGCTCCCTCTTGAGTCAGGATGTCTGAGGACACGCCTGCCTCCCATGGTCCTAGGATTTGGGAGAATTAGTTCATTTTGCTAAGCCTCCGTTACTAACCCAGCAACTTGGACTGTTCCAGTGTGACTCACGTCGGTCCACTCGTGACAGGGAAACGTGTGGCCAAACCATGAGGGAAAGGCAGCATTCGAGCAAACCCAGCAGTCCACCCTCGGCGCCCCTCTCCAGAAGCTGCCGCTTAAGGGATTTCAGCCATGCAGCTTGTTAATCGGAAGTAAAACTCTTGCATTCCTCATTTCAGTTGTTTGTCTGTGGGCTACTTCATGCCCCCTGTTCAGAGGAAACACTTCAAAATGAGTTTAAAATATGGCACCAAATCAAGAACAAAAATAACTTTATAAAAAATAAATATTCCACATCTAGCCTTACTTTTACAATATTATGATTGGTGACTTCAATAAGAAAATCTTAAATGGAGTGTCACCTCCTAAATTGAGTTGAGGCAGGAGAAGAGGCCCATAATGAGGGTCCTGTCAGAGCAAAGGGATATGAGGCATGACCAGCCAGTGCCACCTGTGTGGCGTCTCGGGGTCCCTTGGGAAATTACCCTGCATAGGCACAGCCTGAGGCCCTAGCGACTTTATGACAACTCATAAGAACTGCTGGCGTTGGTGCCCACAGACAGGCCCCACACACCAAGTCAGTGTCTTTGCACTTTCCTTCAGCTGATCGCTGCAGGTGCTGTAGGCGATCCTCTAATGTTCCCAGCAGGGGAGATACAGGGTCAGCTAGGAAGGGGTCAGTTAGTGCAGGTTTCTTAAATCACTCATTAGCCAAACATTACCAATTTGATTTAGTTGCAGCCCCCCCCCATCTGTATTTGCTAAAGCTAATGCAATCCATTAATTTTCATATAATTTTAATGTATAGTTTCCTTGACATTTTCTAAGAATGGGTACCACATAAAAGACTCTTCCTCAGCCTCCTGTTAGCTTGGCTGATTCAAAGTGTGATCATTTCTAAGAAAACCGAGTTTCAAGATTATGAAATAGTCAACCTCTCCAAGATTGCATTAAAGGTCTAAGAGGCGGGACATATCTCAGAATCCCAGGTCCTTAATGGGAGAGAGCAGACTGGTTTTGCTCATAGACTACTAAAAGAAATCCCTCCATCAGTTGCATGTATTTGTTTGTGTTTGGTTTGGTGGGTTTGTGAGTTAGCTAGCTAGTTAGTTAGTGACAACCTATCACCATGTAACTCTGGTGTCTGGAACTGGCTATGTAGATCATCAGACTGGCCTCAGACTCACAGAGATTCTCCCACCTGCCTCTGCCTCCTGAATGGATAGAATTAAAGGCATGTGGTACCACACCTAACTTCAATATTAGTTTTTTTTTTAATATTGAACTGCATCAAAAAATCTCTTCAGATAGGCAAGCACAAAACTGCCAAGAAGTAGATTTTCAAAGCACATAGCATTCGTTTCTTTTTTGTGAACATTTGGGTTTGGGGGTTTGGTTTTTTTTTTTTGTTTGTTTGTTTGTTTTCTTTTCTTTTGTCTTTGATATCATGTTGTTTTGTGTAGATCTAAAGAGTGAAGTTTTCAATTTTTCTTAGATCTAATACTGAAAAAGTAGAAAGACTGGGTCTCAAAGCAGGTCTACTATAACCCATGGGAAAGATTAAGACCATGCATTTCCAGCACCAGGGCTTGGTGCCAGCCTGTCCTGCTGCTCCCACCCTCCCTAGTTCCCACACGCTCCGCACTACAGGGGCACCAATGGTATCTCCTACCCACGGTACTCTGTACCCTTTCACGTGTGTCGACGGCTCTTCTGTGCAGAGATACATGTGCCTTCTGCTCTGATCTGTAGGCTCTCTCTGTGTGCGTGTGTATGTGTGAATTTATACCACAGACAAATGAAGATTCAGAGCTAGAAGGCAATGTGGTACTTACCTGGGCTGGGGTACCATGACTGGGCTGTGTCTCATGTGTGACTGGGGCTGCATCATCATGTGTGAGCTGAAGATAGGTGAGCCAGGGGCAGATGACAGCCAGGAATAAGATGCATCACAAGCACACAAATTTTCTTAATAATATGAGAGAGTTGGGGAAGGTGGTTTTTTGTTTTGCTTTGTCTTTGTGACTTGACTACAAAGTTCTTATGTGTGAACTTCATAGATAACACGTCACAATGTCAGAAGATTAGATGTGCCTGACAGCCAGTTGTCAGAGAGAGAGAGAGAGAGAGAGAGAGAGAGAGAGAGAGAGAGAGAGAGAGGCGGTGCTTTTTCACCAGCATCAGCGGTTACTGCTTCGGTTTAAGCGGTGTTGAGTCTGGAGATGGCAGCCAGAGCTGTGTGTTGAGCCTCTTCTAATAGCAGTCTGCACTATAGAAATGTAGCTCTGTGTATCTGGATTACTTAACACGTTAGCTGCATCCACTTCTGGAAAAGTCACTGGATTTTATATTGCACTTTGTTCCAGGTAAGTTCCCAGGGTGATTTCATAAGAACATTGCTGTTGTTAAGGGTTTATCTGAACAGGTATCCATAAGGCTCCAGGTGTGCAAGCTATTTCCTGTGGCAGCCACAACGTTCTGACTTGCTCAACTACAACTTTTTCTTTTTCTGAAGGTGTACAAGGGAGAAGAAGCCACATTCCAGATCTCAGGCCTCCAGAACAACACAGACTACAGGTTCCGTGTGTGCGCGTGCCGCCGCTGTGTGGATACCTCCCAGGAGCTCAGTGGAGCTTTCAGCCCCTCTGTGGCCTTTGTGTTACAACGACGTGAGGTCATGCTTACAGGAGACATGGGGAGCATGGACGATCCCAAAATGAAGGGCATGATGCCTACTGATGAACAGTTTGCTGCCCTCATTGTGCTTGGCTTCGCAACCTTGTCCATTTTATTTGCCTTTATATTACAGTACTTCTTAATGAAGTAGACCTGCAGACTAAAGGTATGGGTGGGGCACCACCCATTGAATACACATTTACTCAGAGCCTTCCCTTTCAGCCTTGTTGTCCTTTGATTTATATACTTCTCTTGTTTTACAGATTTAGCTAGGAGAAACAGTCGGTGTTTGGCTGCACCTATTTGAGATGCAAAACTAGGAAGAGGTTAAACTGGATTAAAAAATAAATAAATAAATAAATAAATAAGAGGAGAGCAGCAGGAAAGCACCAGCCACCAAGAGACAGTGTGCCCCGTGAGCGCAGTGTGCCCAGTGAGCGCAGTGTGCCCCGTGAGCGCAGTGTGCCCAGTGAGCGCAGTGTGCCCCGTGAGCGCAGTGTGCCCCGTGAGCGCAGTGTGCCCCGTGAGCGCAGTGTGCCCCGTGAGCGCAGTGTGCCCCGTGAGCGCAGTGTGCCCCGTGAGCGCAGTGTGCCCCGTGAGCGCAGTGTGCCCCGTGAGCGCAGTGTGCCCCGTGAGCGCAGTGTGCCCCGTGAGCGCAGTGTGCCCCGTGAGCGCAGTGTGCCCCGTGAGCGCAGTGTGCCCCGTGAGCGCAGTGTGCCCCGTGAGCGCAGTGTGCCCCGTGAGCGCAGTGTGCCCCGTGAGCGCAGTGTGCCCCGTGAGCGCAGTGTGCCCCGTGAGCGCAGTGTGCCCCGTGAGCGCAGTGTGCCCCGTGAGCGCAGTGTGCCCCGTGAGCGCAGTGTGCCCAGTGAGCGCAGTGTGCCCCGTGAGCGCAGTGTGCCCAGTGAGCGCAGTGTGCCCAGTGAGCGCAGTGTGCCCCGTGAGCGCAGTGTGCCCCGTGAGCGCAGTGTGCCCCGTGAGCGCAGTGTGCCCCGTGAGCGCAGTGTGCCCAGTGAGCGCAGTGTGCCCAGTGAGCGCAGTGTGCCCCGTGAGCGCAGTGTGCCCAGTGAGCGCAGTGTGCCCCGTGAGCGCAGTGTGCCCCGTGAGCGCAGTGTGCCCCGTGAGCGCAGTGTGCCCCGTGAGCGCAGTGTGCCCAGTGAGCCCCTTGTGCCCAGTGAGCACAGTGTGCCTAATGAGTGCAGTGTGCCCAGCAAGCACAGTGAGCTTATGTCAAGCTTTCCAGTATGCTTCTATTCTGTTTCCACTGAAGTCTTTCACAAGCCTTTGAATTTTTTTTGTGTGTTCCAGTTTAGTAATTTATATTCACAGTCTATATCTGTAAACAGAATCACAGTGTATGGAGTTCAGGGCTGGGATTTTGCTGTTGTCAGAGTAGTGCCACACGAGAACATACAGAACATGTGTGCCTTCGGCTGAGGCCACCCAGACCATCTGTCATCACTCAGTTCTTAACTGTGTAGCTCACTTAAGTCAAACTGTGTACTTTAACCTAAATGTGTTACTACTCTGTATCCCTTATCATTTTAACACTATGAGTTGCCTGTCTAAGAAATCACATAACCAAATGCACCTATCAGTGATGGAGCATTGTAGATTTCCACATCGGTCCATAGCAGTAACTTTAAGAGGGCATTGTGCAATAGTTAGTTTTCCTGTTCAGCTACTTTAAAAGCTGCTTTAACTTGCCTGTCTGTCTGTGTATATAACTACTTCTAATCACTAGAGTTATTATATTCTGTTGTGTTTGACCAGAACTACGTGATGAGAACTCATGGCAGTCGAATGCCTCACAATTGTGGGCTGTCTTCTTACATGTTGGTCCATTAGTTTTGAAAGATTTGTCTTTGGCTATCCCTTGGGGTATCAGTAAAGTGAATGAAGTCCAGTACCTGATTTCAGCACCCATAAGACTAATGTAGCGTAGACACAAGTCTTACTGATAAAGCCCACAAGGGAACCATCTACACTTGCCCTGTTTCTGGGGGCTTGATCCGGCCACATGTAGAGAGGGAGTGGTAAGCGGCTGGAAGCACAGTGTGTTTGTGGCCAAAGAGCCTCCAAGATTCTCTCCCTGGATCTGTCAGTAACTTGCTTTGTGACCTCTCTGTGCCTGTTTTTCCATGCATGAGAAATCAAGTCAAATCAAATGGGGATTCAGTATCTGTAAGTGCTTTGAGATCTTAGATCCAGCGGTGCTATTGGAGTACAAATGTTATCTCGCACATTCATTTAGAGTCATGATAATCAGTTCTAACCCAAAGTCATTGGATTGCTCATATGAAGTCCACAATGTTCGAGTACCTCAGGGACACTTAAGAGTTGGAGGTGCAACTGTATTCCAAAAGGGTGCGACAGACACAGCCGATCCCCCGTTCCTGGTTTTTTGTATATTTTTGATCCTTGGTTTTTCTTGATCATAGCTGTTTTGTGCTTGGTCTATGTTGTCTATGCAGTAAGTACCCTGTACTAGCTTATAATATTCCCATACCAAAGTCATGGGGAAACCAACATTATTTTGTTTTGGGTTTATTTATACTATATTCTGCATACAGTACTTTAAATGCCAATTACAGTGCAATCTTTATTTATTGTAAAAATTTTTAAATGTACTTATGTACTAATTTGCCCTCGTAGCATGTTATATTTTGTGTGTTTTATACTTTTGTAATTTTAAGTCAGTTTGTTCCTTGGCAGCATCTGTAGTATTAACCTTCTGACATTTCCTTGTGTTTTTAAAGATAAGAAGAGCATCTAACTCATTAAATGCCAAAAATCCCATTATCAGTGATTGAAAGGTTTACATGTACCCAGAAAACCGTAATCATCTCTCGAGAGTGCTAAGATCAATACATTACTGTGTGCCTATATCAATGTAGTTCAGTACTAGAGAGCTCTGTATTTTGTTATTGACTATAATAATTAGTGTAATTACACTTGTAAACTGATGGTATCAAGGTAAATATATTTTTGCCAAAGTTCTGGCCTTCAGAAACTCATCATTTCATCCAAGTGTGTCATCTGACCCACTGTGACATTACATCTGCATTTTCCGAGACAGGTGTAAGCAGGAGAGAGCAAACTCAGCGGGATCACCTTTAGAGCTATTTGTGGGGCGAGTCTTTTTTTGAAACACTTCAGCACTGCTGCTGTAGAGAATTCTCTGAACTGGTTGAACGGTTTTAAAGGCAACAATGCTTCCAGCCAAAGTCTCTGAGCATCTGATCTTCTGGAGATTCCGTGCCCCGTGGCCATCAGGGAGCTGAAGTGTGTGACTCTCGAGCAGACAGCACTTTATTCTATTGCTCTCCATTATTTGTTTTCATTATAATCTCTTCAGTCGGGAAATTACTCCTCTACATGGCACTATTTTCTATCGCTAGTCTGTATATGTGCTATGGATATATAGCTATATATATATATTGTCATTACAAAGGAACAGTAAGATGAAGTGTTCTATTAATCTCCTTCTGCCCTTGACCAAGCGTAGGAGTGGCTTTCTCATGCTCTGAGGCTTCTCTGTATGTCACAAGCATCCCTGACACAAGAAATTCCAGTCATCTGAAGCAAACTGCCCTTTGTCCTCAAAATGTTTAACAAGAAAACTTTTTTAAAGGCTATTTTGCATATTTTCTGCCTTGTTTTTTATCAAACTTCAGATGTTGACATTTTCTAACCCTGTTTCTTCGGCTACAATCACTCAGTATTTGTGTCAAAATTGAAAAGTGCCCTCATAGAATGTGTCTGAATGTTATCCTTGCACAATTGTTTAAATTGAAAGGCGAAATGTTTTACCTCACTGTTGGACATACATTCCAAGCTTTTCGACTTTAGGAGAAAAAAAATAATCATATGTTTTCTTGTCTTGTAAATTTTAGATTATTTCATATACATTATATTAAAACTGCCATATCAATTTTAATGTATAGATTTTGCAAATATTATGCTATATGTAATACCTAACTGTATCTGTAGTGTATATGTAATATATTTATGCCCAATAAATGTTTTAATTCTTTCTGACTTAAGTAAGGTTCTTCAGCTTTGAATAGGGTTATAGTTTAAGTGTCTTGAGCAGCCATGCAGGTGACGTCGTACATGATGCTTGCTGTTGCCTGTCTCATGATATTTGAGGTCTTGAAGGAGCACCCCCTTCAATCTCATCAATGCTATTCCAAAGTAACTCAAATTCCAGGCTACTTCTTTACTCAGTCTCTGTGTATAGTTAGTTATTAGCTTGATACTTTATTTGTTGCTGAAAGTCAGGCATGCAGGTCTCCCTGTGTCAATCATTACTGGGTGTTTCCTGTCCCATGATGCAGTCTTACAGTTTTGAACTCCTTCCTCCTTTGGGTGTCTCTCAGCAACAGCAAGAAACTAGTGTTCTCCTTCATGAGGCTGCAGGGAGGAAGAAACCGCAGTAGTTAAGGTTAGGCTGGCGAGGAGCAGAGCCCCGTGATTGAGTCATCATTTTGGTTAAGTTGTTTCACTAGTTAGTCTCCACCTTCCCATGGAGTAATCCACACCTCCCTCTCTGTGTCATGACTGGACAATGACAAGTTTGAACAAGCATCAAAGTGTACATGGACCTTATACTGCAGATAATATAGCAGAGGATTGTTTTCCCATACGAACAGAAACATGGATAAAAAGCTATTAACACTAGAATTTTGGAAACCAGAAAAGGGAATGCAAAATCTCTATTTGTCAAGATGGAAAATGAACACCAATGCAAAATCAGTGCAGAAAGTCCTGAAGACTGGGAAACAGATGGCCACGTCTTCCCCAGAAACAAGAGGGAAGAACAGAACGGTTGAGGCTGCTTGGCTCTCCGATATCACCGCCCCTTATACATTGCCCCTCCTTATCCTCAACACAGCCTAGAAGTTGCTCCTGAGGAGGCTCAACTTGGACTTCTCTGACTGAAGAGTTGTGACGGGAGCTGAGGGGGAGGGTACCAAGCACAATGAAGCCCCATGAGCAGAGCAGAGCCGTAGGGACGAGGACAGAGTCCGGGACAGAGCTCTAAGCTCCTCAGTAAAATGGCTTTTAAATCTTAACCTGCATGATGACACTCCTGGGAAGCTTTTCAAGATCTCTGCACTCACAGACAAAAGGAAGAAGTCATGACTGGTGGTTATTTAAAGATTTTCAGCTGACTGCACCGCATGGCTGGGTGGAAACCCTTTTTCTCATTTCAGCTGCCAGTTGTGCCTGCTGTAGTTTTCTGTCTTGATCAAGGGCAGCCTGATAGCTGGTAGAAGCTT